TAAGTAGGGTTTTTCATGCAAGAAGTCTGCTTTCCCAACAGAGAATGACAGAAACTTACAGATCCAGCGCACGATAGTAGTTTAAACCACCAGTAAAGCCTTTCTGGTCAAATTTACTGACATAATAGTTGACATCTTCTTCAGACAGCCAAGAAGGCAAAGTTATTGGACTGTGAGGTGAACCTCCAAATCCTATCTCCTTAGGTACACGAGGCGGACGTGGATTTCTAGATGCTAAAAATTTCTTCACTATTCTAGCAGTACCAGCACGGGCAAACTCTTCTTCAGCCTCCCCCGGTTTCTACAGGACAAGCGGATCGCAGATATTAGTTTAACTGCTAAAACTCCCTATGAAAAATAACTACCAATTAAAATTAACATATAGACGAACAATGGAAACAATAATGGGACAAGTTGAATCGCAAGGTACTGCTTCGTGTCAATCAGAAATTGATTTTAGATAACGAATCATGAAGCAGAGTAAGAAGAAGGTTAAAACATGCACGCCCATATGTAGTTTGATATCCGTAAGTCAAGAAATATTGGTCAGTATCATTAACTAAGTCACACTAAGAGTGTTCAGAAGAATCAGAACTCAGCATACTGCTTGCGCTTTACTCCTTTGTCTGTGGATTGAATATTTTCTGAAAACCACGGGCATATGAAGCCCAAATAAAACTATTATAGGAATTGTTTTGGCGGAATAAAACTTCATTAAAAAATCAAACGTTATGAATGGAAGAGACCGGACCTTGTCAAGGTAAGAAATAAGTCGTGAATGTTCTTAAAGAAATCAAAGGCACTACTACTGGATTAATTATTCATGCGAAAACCGATAATCATATCATTATAACAGTGCCCTGGCCCCTGAGGTTAGACTGCCCCCTTCTACTTTCAAACGGTTGATTTGAAGTTTTGTAAATTCTCCTCAGTTGCATTGCACGAATTTACAATGCACTAAGGCAAAAAAATTAATGTGATCGGCCAGCATTGCTTGGTTGAAGAGGGATAGAATTTGTATTGCCGGAGATTAAATACACGTAAGTTAATGCTCGTCATGGACAGCTTATGGGTGAGTAATGTTATTTATGGCCAGCAAGAACGAAGAAATTGGAGATCAAATTTTGACATGGCATGGCAATCCGAAGTACTCTTATATTATGCATCAACTCTAATATCTAATTCAGCTTGTTACCTATCAAATATTCGGACTAGAAATAAACGAAAACAGCTTCCTTATAAAAACTAAATCCGAGATTAGCAGGCAGAAGCAATCATGACAAGTGTAGAAGACGAATTCACCTGAAACCTGCAGATATAGTAATCATCGCCCATCAAGGCTCTCATGCTCTCAAGTGGCTTCCTTCTCGGATTCCTTGGGCTGAAGGCCACGCTCAGGTTGACCAAGGCCTTCACACGGTCGGGCCTGAGCAAGCAGAAATACCAAGCCATGACGGCGCCAAAATCATGACCCACCAAAAATACCTGTTCAATACCCAAGGCATCGAGAAGTCCGACGATGTCGCCGACGATGTGTAAGGCGGAATAGGAAGCAGGAGAGGGCGGGGCGTCAGTATCGCCATAGCCTCGAAGGTCAGGAGCGATGGCCCGGTAGCCGAGCGAGGCAAGTGAGAGGAGCTGGTGACGCCAGCTATACCAAAGCTCAGGGAAGCCGTGGAGCAAAAGGACTACTGGGCCTGATCCAATTGAGGCCAGGTGCATTTTGATCCCGTTCGTCATCACCCTGGTGTGCTCTATTTTCTCCATTTTCGCGCCTCGACTTGCTCTTCGCCTTTGCTCCGCTCCCTCTTCCGAATTGAAAAATCAACATGCTGCAGTGATTCCTCCCCAAGGATTCCGCTTTTATCGGCTTTATCCAATTATTTTTTACATTGATTTTTATCCAAAAAGGATTTTAAATTTTTAAATATAATTAATAATACTATTTTTACCTAATTTGATAAAAATTATGCGTTACATATCATTGTTGATGTTGCTAGGCTGGACATTGGCTTAAAATTTAAAAAAATCTTCATTTTTTTAAATATAATTTTTTAAATCTATATGCAATACGACTTTGGGGGAAATTATAATCAGACAGAAATTAAAATTTAATCTCGATCTGTGTAGATGAGTGCACATGCATGATACAGTCCATTGCGTGCAAAATGTAGCACTTTTTTCGTTAAAAACAAAAAAAAGAGGCTGACTCTCCGGATGCTTCCCCGTTTAATACTATCCTGGTGTAGGGTCTCCGGAGCTTCTACTGGGGAATTTGTCCATATGATTCTTCGTTGTTCCTGGTTCAATCCCAAAAGGCAGCACCTTTGTTTTAAATATGAAACTTAATTTATGGATGTGCTGTAATTTAAAACAAAATAAGGTTTCACTTTTTTCTTTTTCTAAAAATTATATTCTCACGTTTTTTTGCCAGCAAATATTGTCTTCGCATGTTACCTTTTTTTTTTTAAAAAAATAATTTTGCTCACTCTTTTATTCTATATCATTTCATGAGAAAAGCTGCATCCTTATAAATTTTAAGTGACTAATAAAAAAAGGGGTATTTTGGATAAATGCATGCGTATTTTTACATGATAATAATTCATAAATTTAACTACTTGTTTAATATTTATAAATTAGTTGATTATTAATGTACTAGAACACCCAATAAATTTTCATGAATCTTAAAAACCGAGATCGAGGTTGTGAGCACCTAGTAGCCGGTCCTAGTGTGCCACTTTACTTGGATTTCAGGGCATAGCATTTTGGCACAAACGCAGTGCTTATCATATTCTACCTCCTCTCTCTGATATAATTAAAAACGAGTTAGACTGATTTAAGTAAATGTAAAATGTTTATTAAATTAGTTATTTATTTATAAATATGTGTTTGCTTCGTTAAAATATCTTTGTTAATCATGTGTATTAGTTAAGATTATTATTTAATAGAACATTTAACATGTGTAATTACTACAAAGTCTATTTTTAAAAGAATATATAAGAAATAAAATAAATTGAAATATCAAATCTAACACTAAATTAAAAGTTAAATTAGCTTTTATATTAAGCAGAAGACGGTAAAAACGAAGCTAAAATTGTCAATCCCCCTGTAAATGAAGCGTTGGACACGAAAATAGTCAAATGACCTGGTTTCAAGGGGAATGCATGCAAGTAATAATTAAGGAATTGACGAGAGGCGAAGCGCATGCATCTCTCCCCCAATCCCCTTCCAACCTATTTTAACCCTCCGGACTTGGACCCATCCGTGAAGTTATCAACTCCATTGTATATATTAAAATTAAACACACACAATATACACAAGCAGGAAAGTAACACCAAAAAGTACAAGAAACAAAATGAAACGCATTTCATATCTTGTGTTAGCAGTGCTGGTTATTTGCCTCGTAACGGTGCCTCGTGCGACACACGGCTCAGGTGATAAGAGCAGTGCAGGGCAGCAGAATGTTAACGCCGTGATCGAGGAAGTGTGTGGGAAGACAGCTTCGAAGGCTGTCTGTGTGAAAACATTAAAAGCGGACCCACTGGTGGTGCATGGGCAGGGGAATTTGACTGCCAAGGACCTGGCAATATCGTTTCTGAGAATGGCATCCAAGAATGCCACGATGGTGATTTATGAATTGAAGGTTCTGATGGAAAACGACAGGTTGGATCCTCAGGTTCAACAGGGATTATCGGATTGCAGAGACATGTTGTCGGATGCAGGAGAACAGATTGATATCGCACTTAATGCAGTATCGGCGGATGCTTCCTATGATACTGAGAAGTGGCTCCAGGTTGCTACGGATGCCACCGATCTCTGCAAGGCCTCTCTCGAAGGCACCGAGCAAGTCATGCTGGCCAAGGCCAAAGGTTTCTACAATTTATGCGTCATTGCCGGCGCCATATGCAACCAACTCTAAATCTCAACATCCTCTGTTCTTCTTTGGAATATTCTGCGCGTCAAATTAATGCTTTCACTGCCGTGGACGGTGCCTTTCAACGTTTTCTTCCATTTCTAGAATGGTCCTGCTTAGGTGTTAGAGCTTTTAGAGCAGATCTGCGTTCCAAATGCACTTACGTTTTGTTATAATTTCGTAAATAGCCAGATACATATACATTGGTTGCCATATCTAAAACATCAAGCTTCGTGTCCGATGTTAATATATAGCACAAGACAGCTCAGAAAGCTTTTAAATAAGGAAGACTACTGTGCAACTTGAAATTCCCAGGAGCAGATATGCCAATTACATATGCAGAACAGCTTGGGTTTTCCCCTTAAAAGTAAAACACTTGTATTTCTTCTAGTCGGTCGTCTTTTCTATTAAAGTAGCAAAAAAAGGGTCAATTTTGTGGTTGACAATGTTAAAAGCTTGGGCTCATTTGCTTGTGCTTTTCAAAAAATATCACCACCAACACAAAGTTCACCCATCGCCCACGGCTTATGTAATGACTCGTTCCGGATCTGCATATAGCCTTTATTAATGATGTTACTCCTACGTAACGTGCTGTAGCTAGGTCACCATATTCAAATGTTTATATATACATATGTTAAACTCATATTTTATGACATATAAATTTTTACTGATTTTTCTTCTCATATATTAATATTAACGTTATACGATTATGATAAACGCGGAATTGAATATTTTAAATAAATTAATTGAATTTTAGTTGGACATTGCTTCTAAAAGACATGATCAAGTGTCAACCCAGTAGTGGCTTTAGTTATTTGTACTCACGCGGCAATAATTAAGAGACTATATTAAGAGATTTTTTTTGATTTCGTATATCAAAGTTATAGTTAAAACTTTATTTTCTTTTGAAAATAATAGCAAGAAAAAACAAGAAATACCAAGACTAAAATCTATATATAAATAATATAAAATTCACATATAAGAATTCAAACGATTCATAACAAAATTAAGAAAACACGATTTAAGAACTTAGAGGATTAATGGGAAAAAGAAGGAAAAGTATTTATATACAATAGGATTGAGGAAATCAGGAGTTAATTAACCCACCGGTGTAGGGGACGCCAGTGAGGGGCAGCCAATAATCCCCTAACAAGAACCTGGAGACGGTGAAATCAGCAGCAATGGAAGAGTTAATGACATGATAACCGTTCCAAGTGACCCGATGTGAGGTGTTAGATCCCGGACCTGAATTATTATATTCTGCGTAATACAGGCTATCCAATCGACTCTCACTATCATTGTCCCAGAAGTGCCAGCCAGCCCCGTCTATGAGGTTGTCCATAAAGCTCTCCATGTAAACCGTCCTCGACAGTGGCTTCCACGGCCTTCCTAGGTACGTAGCCGCCGTCCCTGCTAGATCCTCCGCTGCTCTAATTGTGCAGTTATGTATTGAGAAGCCCGTGTTCTGATCATCGCTCTCTCGACTTTGTGCTGTGATGGCGTTGAACTGTTTCCTCATAGGCTTACGAGCATAAATATTGCAGTTTTGGAACACGGCAGCCGCATTCCCGCATATGAAATCCACCGTCCCGTATATATCACATTCTCTGTAGAACTGTTTCATGGAATGTGCGTACAGTGTGTCTTGGTATCCCTCAAAACTGCAGCTATAAAACAAGGACAAATTTGCTGAGTTCCGCACTGCCACCGCTTGGTGATTCTCCGGCCCTGCCGTGTTACGAAATGTTATATTCACTCCCATGAATCCCTTCCCGTGCACAGCTGCATGCATTCACAATGCTCGCATTGATTAAGCAAGAATATATCGTTTTGACATTATATATAGGTGTCTGTTTGAATCAATTACCGAATGTTGCAGATCTATAGGGATGCCACTTATATGCATAGCTATGATTGCCTGTGATGATAGTTCTGTTGATACCATCTCCCATCATCATCAAGTAGGTCTTTTTCTTATCGATGGAGATGTATTCTTCGTAAACTCCGGCCGAGACATAGATCAAGAAGTAGCCTTCCGAAGAGGAAGAGTCGTCGGGAGCTGCAGAAAGGGCATCGTTGATGGTGGTGAAGTCACCTGTTCCGTCTTTACTTACAATCGCGATGTCTTTAACATGCAACATGTTGGGAACTGCAAAAGCCAGGTCTAGTTTTCTACCACTAGCAGCCTCGAAGATAGCACGTGTTCTGTTCGACATCGCGAGAGACAAATGACCATCTCGGAATACAACTTGCACTTGGGGAGGATGGTGTCGCGATAATTCAGGTTTTTGTTTACTCACGGCGGGGACCCAACCTTTTGTAAAAAGGGATAAAGAGGCTCCGTAAAACTTCTTGTCGACGGTAAGTGGGGAAACCAGCTTTCTTACAAGGTTGGGATGAGAGGAAACGAAAGTGTCTTGGAGGCCTTCCAAGCAGGTTTCATGGTTGGTTAAAACAGCACTGAGCATGGTTTGAACACCTTCAACTTCGACATCTGCTAGAGACCCAGCCGCCTTATTGATAATTTGCAAGGAATTTGAGAGAAAATCTACGTTGAGGTCGGCAAGCGTTCGGCAATCTTCAAGGTCAGCGACCGCCACAGCAGACAAAGAAGAGCGCCGTTGGAGAAGTTGGTCGAGGGAGTTCAAGAATCTGCGGGCTCGCAATAAGGACTGGAGGATAGAGGAGCGACAAGAGTCATGGACGGTGGCGTTTTGAGGAGGAAGGAGGGACATGCAGTAAGAAGGTTGGGGGGAATGGTGGCATAGAGCTGCAGGAGAGAGAGATTCTGCAAAAGCTAGTGAAGGAAAGAGTAGAAAGAGGAGAATCACGAAGGCCATTGTTGAGAAAATACGGGAGGAGAGGCTGGGTTGATAGTCTGTATGGGAAGGCTAGGTCGGTGACGAGTACGTATTGATAGGGGAGAAAGAGAAATAATCTCTGTAATGAGAACGTCAGAATCAGTAAAGTGTGTGTCCATTTCTCCACTGAGAAAATAAATATAAAAAAAATCAAAGTTAAATATAAAATCAATGAAAATTCAGTTTCCTACTTTGTAACGCGTGGCTTCGCGTAGAGGAAATACTTGAGAGAGGGTGGAAGAAGAGGCCAAACCGGCGGTTACTGCATTGGCCAGTCTGCGATGGTGATAACCGCGTCCGAGCTGTTACCCACTCACATGAAGACAATCTTCTTAATTACTACTACTCTCCGGGGGAGTTTTCCACTTTTCCAGGTTTAGTTTCCAGAAAATAGCTTCATATCTCTCTCTTCTTCCTGAGAGCTCCGCGTTGTAGCCACTGCCACTCTGTTCTCTATTAATTTCCTTTTGTTTCTTTCTTGGTTTAACTCTGCTAGATCGATGTGATTTCCTTATCCCTTTCCATATAGGTGGTTCTCTTTTCTTTTTCTCACCTCGTGATTCACATAGTTTACTTTTTTCATCCTCCGGATTATTCCTTCATAAATGCCATTTATTTGAAATGCTTCCACACTTCCACACATAACATGTACGCCCTGTGAAAGTGTCACTAAATAATACTACCTCCAGCTTTAATTATAAGACCCAGTTGACTAATTTGAGAAAATTAAAAAAGAAGTTAAGTTAGTTATTTATAAATAGGTGTTTTCTTTCCTAAAATATCCTTATAATCAACTATATTGACTAGAACTACATTATTAGAAGGACTACCTTGAAAAAAATGCATAAATATGAGAGACAAAGTGGATTGGGGTCTTATATTTATGACAAAAATAAAGTCAAATAGGGTCTTATATTAAGGACCGGAGGTAGTACTACCTCAGGTCTTTATTAAGACTTTGTTTGACTTTTATTTTGGTCCTAAATATATTATCCCAATTCACTTTGTTTCTTATATTTATGTAGTTTTTCTCAAGACAGTTCTTCTAACAATAGTAGTTCTAATCAGTACACTTTATTAGTAATGATATTTTAGAAAAAACAATACTTATTTATTACAAATAAGTAACTTAACTTGTTTTCTTAATCTCTTCAAATTAATCAACTAACTCTTATAATTATGACCGGAGGTAGTATTAAAACAAGTAATTATCCTTTTTTTATTTAATTTATTAGTAGTCAACAATTAGGATGCATCCCGTCCGTGTTTTTATTTTTAAAATAAAAGAAGACTGACGTCCTACTGCCACGTACTTTTACTTTCGTTTTGCCTTTTATTTCAACTCATGAAAAAACAAAAAATCCAATCCGCGCAGCAAGTCAGATCGTGGATATATAACATGTATAATATACAAGGGGTGTTTTGTTGGATGCATTTTGTAGGAAGTTTTCATTCTGATAATACTCCTGTGTGCACGTTTTTTTTTTTTTTCCCAGAAGAAGAGCTTATGAATAGTGACACTGTACATTATTCCAAATATATATATATATAACATATGATCTTTTTCACAAGAGGTAAAACGAGACACCGTTAAATGATGGTCAAAACTGTGGGTGTTCATGAAATCTTTTTTTTCCAAAGGAAAATTTCAGGAGGCAACATGAATCAAGCCTGCATAAGGCGCTTTTATTAAGGCAAAGCGCCATACTGTTAGACCATGGGATCATGAGTTTAGCCCCTTCCTTCAAATGAAATGATTTTTTTAATTAGAAAAACAGGCACCAACGATTTTGGAACTAATTGACATATACTAGATGCTTAATATAAGAACTAGTTTAATACTACCTCCGGTCCTAATTATAAGATCCAATTGACTAATTTGAAGAGATTAAAGAAAAAGTTGAGTTAATTATTTATCCTAAATAGGTGTTATTTTTTCCTAAAATATCCTTACTAATCAAATGTATTGACTAGAACTCTTATTATTAGAAGGGCTACTTTGGAAAAAATGTATAAATATGAGAGACAAAGTGGATTGGGGTATTATATTTAGGACCAAAATAAAAGTCAAACAGGATCTTATATTAAGGACCGGAGGTAGTATATATTCAATTTAGTTATAAATATAAGACCTAAATCTATTTTGTCTCTCATTTATCCATATTTATCAAGATAGCCACTGAATTAGTTTCATATGTTAAAAGTTTCATTAAATAGTAGTTTTAATTAATACAAATGATTAGTAAGGATATTTTAAGGAAATAACACCTATTTATTATAAATAACTAACTTAACTAAATTTTTTTAATGCACTTAAATTAATCAACTAGTTTTTATATTAAGGATAGGAGATGGTGGCTTTTTAATTTGTAATTGATTTTTTTTTTGCCGGCTATTTATAATTGAGATATGTGGTAATGTATTAACAAAAGAAATAGAAGAGACTGCGGGCAGGACTCAATAAAACCGTTAGTCTCTTGAATTTGGTGGCAATGACATTATTGCGCATAATTAATTTCAAGAAGGATGAAGGTATCTTGAAACGAGGCTTGAGCTTCATAAGTAATTATTATCAAATTTTTCAGATAATAATATCTATGAAAGACCCAGTCATAATTGAGCCCGTGCGTGCGTGCGTGTGTATTATAACAAAACACTTCACCGAAACACAAGATCTGCACAAAAACTGACAGAAGGAGAAAAACCGATGGAAACTGAGCGGGCCATTAAGAAAAATCGTGGTAAGCCACCAGGAAATCAGTTGACGTGCTTCCATATATCAAATGAGCCCACCCGCTGCATGTGGTCACAGAAAACAATATCCACGGAATCGGTAGGTTACACTGCACCCGGTTCGCATAAGTTTCCTTCCACGGAATTTTATTTTATGATTATAAAAGGAAGCCGGCTTATGCTTTTGCATGCACTCAAGCACATATGTGAATTCAATCTCGAAAACCGTTTTATATATTTGTTCAAGCATCCAATAATTGAGAAGTTATTCATATAGTAATATATATATGTGTGTATATATGGCTACATGCAACGTGGGAACATACAAGCATGGAAAATATGTGCTATGTGTGGGAAGCAAGAATTATAAACAAAGACGACAGCCAATCATAACTTATTGTTTATGAATTTGAATGCTATTGTTGGTGGCATCGGCGAGACCCGATCAGGCCGCGAGTCCGCTAGAGTACGGAACCCCCGTCTGCGGCAACCAAGCATCCCCCATCAGGAAGTTGGACACCGTGAAATTTGCCGCATCCGTGGCATTGATGACGTGGTAGCCCGGCCACGTCACCCTGTTGCTCGTGTTAGCGCCGGGGCCACTGTTGTTATACTCAGCGTAGTACAGCGTGCTCAGAGCAAAGTCCCCGTTCCACTCGCGCCAACCGGCAGGATTGATCAGACTGTCCATCCATGACTCCATAAATACGGTTCTCGAGTACTCCTTCCATGGCCTCCCGAGGTACGTCTTCACCGACCCTACCGACGGAGCCAGATCATCGGCTGCTTTTATGGTGGCGTTCTGTATGGACGTGCCCGTGTTCTGGTTGGGGTCCGTCCGGCCCTGAGCCGTGATGGCGTTGAACTGACCGCTCATCGGAAGCCGGGGATACAGGTTACAATTTTGCAGAACCACGGCTCCGTTCCCGAATATGAAGTCCACGGTGCCGTATATGTCACATTCTCTGTAGAATTGCCTCATAGAATGTGTGTAAAGCGTGTCTTGGTACCCTTCGAAGCTGCAGCTGTAGAACGTGGACTTGTCCGCTCCGCTTCTCAAGGCAACGGCTTGGTGCTTGCTCGGCCCCGCCGTGTTACGGAATGTAATGTTCACCGCCACGAATCCTTCTGCTACCACGGCTGTAAGTAACGTTCACATGTGTAACAAATTAATCGCGCCGTTAAAACACAACACAGCATAATAACATGCATGTAATCAGATTACAGAGTCTCGCGTGCTATAATAATTACCAAATGTCGCTGAGTTGAATGTTGTAGAACCGTCGACGACGTTGTGATCGCCGGTGATGATGGTGCGGTTGATGCCTTCTCCCACCAACATCAAGTACTTTTTGTTTTTGGCTATGGATACGTATTCTTGGTACACACCCTCGGTGATGAAGATCAAGAAATAACCGTTACCGGCAGCCGTGTTATTAGGGGCAGCATTGATGGCGTCGTTGATGGTGCTGAAGTTTCCGCTTCCATCCTGACTGACGACCACGATGTCAGTAATCGACACACTTTCGTCGTCGGACTGGAGCAGTTTTCTGCCGTGGCGTTTTGCGGAGTCGAAAATGGCCTTTACTCGGGGTGACATTTTCAATGGCAGGCGACCATTGCTGAATTCCAAATGCCTCCCATTGCGTGGCCATGATGTTATGATTTTCTTCTCGGGCACCCAACCTTTGGCGAACAGAGCGAGAGACACGCTGTGCAGTTTGGTGTCGTCGGAGAGCGAGGAAGAAAGATCGTCCTTTACTCTTCGATCCGAAGTGGTGGTTTCAAGGCCATCCTGACATGTTTGCTGGTTGGTCAGAACGGCACTGAACAGGGTTTCAAGGTCTTCGGCTTTGGAAGAAGACAGGAAATCATTAAGATTTTTGACAGCGTCCAAGGTGTCGGATAAGAACTGGAAGTTGAGCTCAGCGAGGAAGCGACAATCCTCGAGAGCTCGAATGGTGGGCTGAGACAGAGAGGATGGAGATCTCAGAATGGAATTCACCTGGTTCAAGAACGTACGAGACTGGGATAAGGACCTTCGAAGCAAAATGCGGCCAAAGTCAAAGACATTGCCATTTGATTACCAAGCACAGTTTTGCAGAGGGAAGGGTGCAAGGTGGAGTCGCAAACAGTGTCCGGAGGGGTTATGAGGGTGGCCACAGGGTTATCTGCTGCCAGAGATAACAATGCGAAGAAGGAAAGCAGAAGGAAAACGGAGCCTGTAAAGCTAAAGAGAGACATGAGCTTGAAAGCCATTGGGGTCTAAGCAAGAGAAGAACTTAGTTGTGATGATGAGCTTGAAATGGCTAGTTTCGTCGTGGTATATATAGGGGACGGGGTCGTGCAGTGTGAGAACTAGATTAATTAATTCACAATTCGTATCGTTTTCGTGATTAAATTGTCATATTGGCACAATTGATGGGAGGCCTACGTGACTCCCATGAACGCAGTCAGCAGCTCCAACTTGCCATTCTAAATAAACTAACATATTGGTTGACAAAATAAACATTAATTAATTACTTACTGTGATCTTTGCACCGACGCATATATAGACACGCACATATTTGCTTTATTCCTTTGAATTAAATTAATGATTTTTTTTTACTTAATTATCAAATAAGATTAGTTTTTGGTGACGTGCTGTTATTCGGCTAGCTATTTGCCCATTGCAATATAATTTTTGCTCGCCAACTGTGCAATTGCCACAAAAGACAGAAGGAGAAAAGTAAAACAAGTGTAGATTAATTGCCATTTAATGCTGACAAAATAATTATGATGCATTCTCTAGTCAATGTGGACAAGGAAGACGACGAGCTTTAATCGGGTCAAGCCTTAAAATTGAATGAGCCTAATTTTTTTTTAAAAAAAAGAAGCAACAGTGCCTGTTTAAAATGGTGTTGACCGAGCTCTTAGGGATGTGGAATTTAATCATCTAACTTCTGAACGAGGTGACTATGAATTCTCAAACCAGCTGTTACAATTATCAGTGTGGTGTAGTGATTCAAGATTTAATTTCACTTTGGGGAACGAAGTGAAAAGAACTGAATGGTTTGTGTAGACGATTCAAATCCTTCACTCTTGCGTTAAGAGTATATCTCATATACAAAGTGATTAAGCAATACAGACATGTGATTATAATTAATCGAATCTCTTGCGTTATTGGCTATTGCAGATATAATGGATGGGAAGATTAGATTACTTTGCGTATCAAACTTTTTGCAGCGGCTGTGAAAACGAAATGTCAGCCACCTTAGTGTCTTTCAGGTATGGGTTGCATGCATCATACATATATTCTTAATTAAGCCGATGATCGAATTAAGAATGACAGAAATATTTTAGAATTGAGTTCATCAGCTTAGCAGCATAGGAACAGGAAATGTAAGAGCATGTATATTTGTACTTTGGATGTTCTCATCAGGGCGGGCAACATGAATGATTGGAAGCGATATGTTAAGATAGAACAATATGAAAAATCCGACACAAAGGAATATTGAACCAACCCAAAAAAAGAACAGAATTAAAAACTAGGGAGAGTTGGTAATGGTCCCCGGCCCTAACCTTCGTGCAGTAGTGTAGAAGCAATTGACCAAGTCTGAGATATATCTTACCCACAGTTTATGCGCGCATTTTGTAACAAAGTCAGAACATTTGCGGTTATAAAAATAGCATCACTAAAGCATAGATTAACAAAGTCTAGTTGCGTTTAATATTTTACATAGCAGCATATTGGGTGGCGAAAAGAAAGGTAACGAAGCTGGATCCCCTGTTGTAATGCAAGCGGTCATAGAATAGATCCTGATGAGTTCTTCTATATATCAAGTTGCAACTGACCACAAAAAGCTACGCTTTCTGCAATTCATTCTAAATTCAAATTGAAAATTGCCAATGAAATTGTGCATATGCTATATTTTTTATTTTTTGAGTGAAATTGTGCAGATGATATTATTTTCTTTGATCTCTCTCTTACTTCTTTCTAATTTTCCCTCCATTTTAGGGTCAAAGTCTCTTTTTTTCTTAATTAAAAAAAAAAGGGGTATGTTTCGGGGAAGGTTCTGGGAATAAAGATTGATTGCTGGAGGGATCAATGCATTTGAATCAATAGTGTAGAGGATGAAGGTGTATCTGCATCCAGCCTGTAGAAAGCTGAACAGAAGACCAATTCAAATTTCAATCACAATCACGCAAAGTCCTCGCAATTTCCCCGTGTGTGCTTATAAAACCATATACGCTTGCAGCTTCCTTCAATACACATCTGTCTCTTCTTCTTCTTTTCTTTTTTGGGCTCAAACATTGCGGCGGCCTGAATAACATCGTACTTGACTATAGTGGTCGATACGCATCTTGTTTCACGGGATAATCTTGTTCTTTAAAAATTAAAATTGTACTGTTAATTAAAAATTACGTTATCTTATTCACTCTCCACCTGAATCAAGTATCACAAAATGTAACCAGTGTTAATCATGTTATAACAAGATTGAATCCAGACAATAATAATAACAAGAACGAAGCTAATCATGAAAGGGATATAAACTAATCAGTTTTTTTTTTTTTAAAGCATATGTATCTTCTTATTGAAAACAATCATATTTCAGACATTATCAGACACTAAATGTAGATACCTCTCTTAACAGGGATTTAAACATTTCTCTTCTACTAAATCCAAACCCTGTTAATCAACCTTTCAACAAAAGATGAAGTACAAACTTGAAATATATGGGGTAAAACTGTAGAAGTTTGAGTAGCATTCCAATAAACTCCCCAGGCACCTATAATATAATCTATAAACCAATTAATAAGGCCCTTTTTAGATAGAGTGATAGAATGATTTTGATCTAATCCCTAATCTTAACTAATCGAGACAGCACATATCATATTCGCAATTGCAACCACAGCGCACGAAATTGAACAATAATATTTTGAACAATCGGAGATGTATATGTCCTGACGTGACGTACATGATTAGGATAGAAAGTCGTCCGGTCCGGATGCAGTGTATCTAAATAGAGCAACATCTTTATTATTGGTGATACTCATGCTTCTCACCAAACATTGCCATTAATTCTGATCCCCCTGCAGGCCCCACAAGAATGTCAATTTACCAATATAATACTCTAGTCCTATTTAAAAATTGCTTTCAACATATTTTATGTAGGTCAAAAAATAAAAAAAATTTTAAACTTCATTAACTCTTATTTAAAATTTAATAATTTTTTAACTTTATTCCTGTTTAATATATATTATACCTCATATAAACAAAATCAACACAATAATAAATAAAGGATAAAATTGTATATCTATTTTCTCTTAGTACTCTATGAATATGACCAAAAAATGACTTCTATAGATAAGATCAGAGGAGTACTTCTTCATGTCACTTCGCTGGAATTAATGCGTCTAAATTAAACACACATATTAAATTATTATGATAAACCACACAAGCTTTCATTTATGTTCAATTTCGCACCTCATTCTACCCAACGCTTCCACTTATAGGGTTTCCCTCTGTATTAGCGGTGAAGTCGACGCATAGACGAGCACTTATATAATCTGCTGATTAAGAGCCGCCTCCTTGCGGCCGCTGAACCACATATTCAAATTACTCGTATATACACTAATCCCTCCCACACGCTCCGTTTGGTTCATAATTCAAATTGTTAATTAGAAGTCTTTTCACGTTGTTCCATCATGTAATATTCAGAAGGCATTCGATTCAAATGGCCAATCTCTGGACATTATTATATATATATGTAAAGCATTCTTATTTGGCGGGAATTTCTTGGGTAGCAACTAAACAAAACTGCAATAATGTTTCGGATACGGCAGTGTATCATGGGCGCATGGCTATTCTGGTCCAGTTCCTGTAATGGACCCTCGAACCACCACCTTTGTTGGCCCACTTTCATATTCTCCCTCCCTCTTGCGTCTTCACCCTGAAAAGCCTACGGCGTGCCCACTTCGTTCGAATAAAGTTGATCACCAACCTTCTCTGCTTTTGCCTTGTTTAATTTTAGCCAAATTCCAAGTTCAATTTATTTATCAGTTAACGTTGATCCTCCTTCCTTCACTCTTGCCACTTCTCAACAGACCGCTGACAATTACTTGTTTAGTTTTGTGAGTACTGATGTAGATACAGATTTTCTTCAGCACCTTCCAATCATGGTCTCCATTATGGACATTTTGCTATGCAGGATTTGAGAGACTTTTATGTTCACAAACCATGTTGCTGTCGGAGATTATGATAATTAGTTTTGAATCTAATATCAGATGTTTCTATAGTTCATGACTTTCTTTATTCATTGATTGCAGGCTTCAATTTTCTCTTGGTAGCATGGAATAAAGAAAGAAGGAGCAGAAGTATCTTTTCCCACGCTCTGCCCACACGAGACAGAAGGCTTTAGTTGTTGTGTCTCACTCATAAAAGCAGAAGCAATAATAGCTTGCCCGGATCTACACATGTTTACATGTTTAAAAGTAAAAGCACACATCTTATTAATCTTCCATAACAACTCCCAGCTAAGAGCTTACAAGAAATAACGAGGCCTAAGGACGACGGTAACAGAAGAAATTACTATAAATCTTTACCTGAGCCAAGTACCACATAACGTACACAGTTGTGATGAATGTCGGTGGACTCCCCCCGCACCTGATTGATTAATATAGCAAGTCCCTACGTCAGCGTGATTTATTTCGAACTTTGTGCAAATCCAAGTAGAACACTTTACTGCTTTAGTTAACGGTATGGAGCATAAATTTAACTGTGAAGAGCCCCTATTTATATCCACGGCATTCCGCACCTCCCCCCTATTCTCACACACTCATCTTCTCTCCGTTGGCTGCATTTTCCATGTCCACCATGCACCACCTCAAGAGAACAACAGTCTCACTGGCCCTTGTTACCCTCCTTTCTCTACTCTTGCTCCTTGTGAAGGCAACAGAATCACAGGAAGCAATGCGGCCACATTCTCAGGAACACCTTCAAGCGGCTCACTCCACCTGCCAAGGAACACTCTATCCTGACCTTTGTGTCTCCACCCTCGCTTCATTCCCTGATCTTGCCTCTAAATCTGTTCCCCAACGCATCTGCTCCCTCGTCAACCACACCATGTACGAGGTCAGATCCTCGTCCTCTAACTGTACTGGTCTGAGAAGAAAGCTCAGAAATCTAAACCCGCTTCAACAGAGAGCCCTCGATGATTGCCTCCAGCTGTTTGATCACACCGAGGAGGAGTTCAAAACCAGCGTGGCGGATCTGTCACAGACACAGATTGATTCCAAGTGCTACCACCACTCGCTGACTCTGCTGAGCGGCGCAATGACCAATGTTTACACTTGCCTCTACGGCTTTGCCGACGGCGACCCCAATGGACACGTGAAACGCTTCATCCAGGACAGCTTGTATCGGATTTGCCACCATGTTAGTAACTCTTTGGCTATGCTCAAGAACGTGCAGAAGGGGGTGAAGAAACAGTCTCCGTCGGAGGCATTCCCGGAGGACGGCAAAATGAAGCATGGCTTCCCGTCATGGCTCACCTCCAAAGACAGAAAGCTTCTTCAAGCTGCTGTTAATGAAACCAAGTTCGATCTGGTGGTGGCCAAAGATGGCTCCGGCAATTTCACCACTATTGGGGAAGCAGTAGCTGCGGCCCCCAACTCCACCAAAACCAGGCACATATCTAAACACCCTTGTCCAATTACATGTGTATTTACGTCTCTCACGTGGCGATGCTGCAACTTCCATTAAATTTTGTGGGCTTCAGTATTGTCTTATTACTGTTATATAAATCAATGTGGTGCTGTAGGTTTGTGATCCACATAAAAGCTGGGGCTTACTTCGAGAATGTGGATGTGATCAAGAAGAAGACCAATCTGATGTTCGTTGGAGATGGGATTGGAAAGACGGTAGTGAAAGCCAGTAGAAATGTGGTAGATGGGTGGACCACCTTTCAATCCGCTACTGTAGGTGCGCTTCCAATCACCTTCCTTGCTTACTATATTTTAATAACACTATTTTGTCATCAGCCTTTGCAACTCGAAACAAGACACATTTTTTATAGAGATTTTTACTGTTCCTTAACGAATCTTGTGGAAAAGACAGTACATGGGAAGTGATTCGTATTAGGTAATTATATTTCGGTAAACATTCGTAAATAAAACAAGAAAGAAGACGTTTCAGACGGATCAGACATCCGTATAAAAAGCCCATGTACGCTACGGACACGGGCTGCACAGGGTTTGTCGATGAATAATGCCTTATCGAAAACCGCGAAGATATTTGTTTAGGGGATGTTTGGATAGAAACCAAACCATGGTTTCAGAAGTGCTTTTACGGATTGCGAAGTAAATATGTGAAGGAGATTACCTCGTTTTGCGGAAAAGTACTTCTGAAACCATGGTTTTGGGTTTCCCAAACACCCCTTTAGAAGTGAACCCACAAGCGTAAATATGATTTCAATGCTTAGTGTAGCAACTAACTAAGCTTCCGTTTGGGGCAATGAATCCAGCATTAAATCTAGATTAAAGAGTGTTTCGAGGAAAACAAAATCATAGTTTTAAAAATATTTTTATAATATACGAAATAAACATGTAAAGGAGTCTAACATATTTTGCTGAAAAATATTTTTAAAAAACACTTTTAATTAATTATTGTCTGTCTAGATATGACTGATGATTCTGGGCTCATGATTTGAGTAGAAAACCGATTAATCATATGGGGAAGCGAATGCTGACAAAAAAGCAACGACAATTATTGCATAATTGCAGATAGATTCTTCTGAGAGCCATCATCTTAAGTAATATTTTCCTGTGAGAATATGGCACGCAAGTTGGTTTTAAATCTTAGAAGGACATGAGTCTTAGCTTGTGAGATTTTCGAGGATTTGCCGCTATCTTTAGGGGCTCGTGAATACATCATGCGTGTTATTGGTCAGTGCGCAGTTGGGTGTCACGAGAGAGAGGAGAAACCAACCTTATCCTCCCCATACCGGACCATCCTTTTCGAGATTGCTTTGCTAAAACCAGTTATTACTACTATACTACTAATTAGGCTTATTTGGGGAAATTCTAGACAGAAATTATGCAACTTATATGTGTGCAAAATTAAGTTTTTTAATTACGGTATAGTATATGCATTTCAGTCGCTTAATTTTATAGAATATATTTAAGGCATGGCTCTTTTCTTTAAGCTTATCTTCTACATCTTAACTTTCCTTCGAATTTTAATTTGACATTTATTTTTATATGTTTCCATTTAATTCGATTACATTTCAGCTCGATTTTTCAATTTTAATACTACTAGAAAATTTGCTTTGCTGATCATGGTCGAGAGTCGAGACAAAGCATTTGGTAAGAAAATCCTTGCCGATCGTTCTTTCGTGAGTCAATTCTAATAGCTTTTATTTTCAATAATCTGGTAGTGTCAAAAGAAATGGGCGATTTATGGAAGTTAAATGAATAAATTTCAATAAATGGAATTAATAAGTAAAAGTGGAACTTCAGATAAAACGAAAGAAGTTACGCATATCGTATGGCTAAATTTAAATAAAAACTAGAGAGGGGGTATATTATGCGTAAACATATCAAGAAGAGCAAAATAGATACACATACCATTGTGATTTTGGAGTCGATGGAACCGCGATCACGATGGCTGCGTTGTCTGTATGGTTTCTTACGAAATGATTCAAGTCCCCCCCCCCCTTTTTCCGTCTAAACATATTGTGATTTTTTTTGTAATTATGCCTCCAATCCTGGCGTACCCAAAAGAGAATCTTAGGGCAAGTAATACTTACGAATACGCATATTCCTAGGGGCATGAGTATATTGGAAAAGAAGCCTGAACTTATAAATCACTGGTTGTTGCTCATCACTATAAAAAGGAGAAACCCCACATGCACGCTGAAGCACCTCAATGATAAAGAAACGAACCGTTTTTCCCTTTGCTTATGCTTTTTTTTTTTTTTTTTGGGGAATCGCCGACACCATACTATAATTCTGAAGGACAAAAAATACTGGGAAATACGTTCCCATGATACAGCCGTAGTAGAGTAGATCGTGTCGGTTGTGTTCAGATGGGCCAAACAACTGGGCCCCCTTGCATAACCCATCTCCTTCTGAGTTCTGACGCCCATTAAATGCGGCCCATTTTCCCTTTCCTTTTTCCCGCGCTTTCTTTGTCGTGGTCTTGGAAGTCAGTACTCACTCAGGCCACTGTCATTTGTGGAAAGTCGACGAGTACTAATTAATAAGTATGATGACGCTGATCTGATAACGGTGGTGGGGTTTGTTGCTTTTATCAGCGGTGGTTGGAGACGGATTCATAGCGAAAGGGATCACCATAGAGAACTCGGCGGGGCCCAGCAAGCACCAGGCGGTGGCCCTCAGGAACGGCGCCGACCTCTCCGCCTTCTACCGATGCAGCTTCGTCGGCTACCAAGACACCCTCTACGTCCATTCCCTCCGTCAGTTCTACCGTGAATGCGACATCTACGGCACCGTCGACTTCATCTTCGGCAACGCCGCCGCCGTGCTCCAGAACTGTAACCTGTACGCTCGCAAGCCCAACGACAATCAGAAGAACCTGTTCACGGCTCAAGGGAGAGAGGACCCTAACCAGAACACAGGCATTTCCATAATCAACTCCAAGGTGGCGGCCGCGTCGGACTTAATCCCGGTGAAGTCATCGTTCAAGACGTACCTGGGGAGGCCTTGGAAGCTGTACTCGAGGACGGTGTACTCAGAATGTTTCATGGAGGATTTGATTGATCCTGCGGGATGGTTGGAATGGAACGGGTCGTTTGCATTGGACACGCTGTATTATGGGGAGTACAGGAACAGGGGTCCAGGTTCCAATACGACAGGGAGAGTGAACTGGAAAGGTTACAGGGTGATCAATTCCTCCACAGAGGCTTCCCAGTTCACTGTTGCCCAGTTCATTCAAGGCCCCGAATGGTTGAACTCCACCGGCATTCCCTTCTTCCCTGGTCTCGCCTCCTGACATTGCACCTCCTCATGCTTCGGATAGCTTCCTATTTAGTACTATTTACTTTCATCGCCATTCTTATGATTTATGAGCTATTCCCCCCCCCCCCCCCAACAAGAATAAAGAAAACAAGTCATGTTCTTCAATACAATAATTGCATTGTTAATTCTAATGAGAAGGGCCCATCTCAAATAAATTATTGAGGGCGAGGCTCTTCTGAGTTACCTCAAATTTAAATAATTAAATCATCATCATGATCCATGAAGCGAGTGATGATGGGTGCGTAGCCATGATCCGTAGAACACGGGGATATATAAAGAGGACGTGACAATGAACAGCAAGAGAAGAGGAGTGCTGATAATGATTTGAAATGCACAATTGAAGATGAGCATGAAACATGGCCATGTTTGGGTACTTGAATCATTCTTGGGATCTTCCCACAAGACAAATTTCATCGTGTTATCTCACACCATTATTCCTCGACTTCTCATCTCCTGCTATCGCGCATCGGGTCCTACTTGTTGCTCTTTATCTGTTCACCGATCTGCCGCACCGGAAAACATGTGAAGCCAATTCTTCCCCTTCCCCGGCCCGCACCCTTTTTCTGTAATTTCACACGAAGCAGCTCAACCACATAATATGCTGTGTTGCATGAGCAATACACAGTAGTACTTCCATAATTTGGGTTTAAAGTTGTTCTCCTCGTCCCAATGAAGCTTAGTGGACTCTTTTTACGTGTTTAATAATCCGTCGGATAATATGTTACGTTGAAATTTAGCTTAAGCTATGGAACGTTTTCCCTTCTCGCCATGTGCTGTAATTTTGAATAGAACAGAATAAGATTTTTAAGTTAACGACCCTCGTATATAGATTGGGGTCAGAATTCAACATATGAAAGATGTGATTTATCCTCAACTATCAAAATCTGTGTGATGGGATGGGGGGAAAGGAATGCGATAGCGGGGAAGGAGCAGGAAAAAGACAGAAGAGAGAAATGGAAGACGGGAATAAATGGCGCCTCAATCAGCAGCATTCAGAAGAGAAAAGTGGGGACAGCTTGCTTATCCATTGGAGGGTATGGGCCTTCAGGAATCTCCAACTTTAATTTCTCCGACAGTCTTTTAATCACAACACATGTTCCTTCCTTCGTTCCGCAGACTGATGATGAGTGTGTTCAATTCATTATGGGCAACCTGTTTTCTCGTTCTACTTCTCCAGAGCTTGGAGCATTTGCCCAAACCACCCCCTTCATGTTAAACTAATCCCATTTATAAACAGAAATCATAAACCTTTACCATTTCTTTTTCATATCATGGTGTACATTTTAATATGTCCAGCCCTTGCTTCTTTGTTTTTTTTTTGGATCAGCTTTTTAGAATTGATTTTATAATGTATAAGATAAATATGTGAGAAGAGTTTTGTTTCGGTTTATATGAAAATATTTTTTTAAAATACTTTTGAGGCCCTCCAAACACCCTCTTAATAATAAAAGTTACAGTAATAAGTACTCCTTTTTTTTCTCCAGTTTCTCATTACAGGGATAAACATGCATCACAAGAACGAGATTTGATTTGTCTAGATTTAGTTTAGACAATATATTTCTAATTTCTTGGTTTTTAAAATTTAAAATGAAAAATATTTACCTTTCACGCATCAACAGTAGACAAGATCATTTTTATCTAATAAACTAAAGATATTAAAGTTATAAGGAAAAGAATGAAATCATGCCTCAGTCATCCAAATTTAACCTGGATAATTTAGATTTACAATAAACAACCCCATATTCGTAAGTCATAACTTGTGCTATGATGTCCGTGAGGGACCAAACTCGCGTGTATGTGTTTTCAGATAAAAAGACCTTTTCCCCCATTTTTTTTTTCTCGTTTTCACATATGTATATGCTATCTCCAATCCTTAATATAAAACCTTATTTAAATTTTATTTTGATTCTAAATATAAGACTCCAATCCACTTTGTTTTTTATATTTATGTATTTTTTTCAAGGTAATCCTTGTAACAATGATAATTCTAACTAATACACTTGTTTAGTAAGAATATTTTAAAAAAACAACATCTATTTATTATAAATAATTAACTTAATTTTTTTTTATTTTTTTAAAATTAGTCAATTAGTTCTTTTTCTTAATAGTTCGTAGTATTTACCATGGGGTGCAAAAGTGTCGCAGAGCAGAAGCGAGAATGGGGACTGTGCCCGTGAGTGTGACAACGTACGGGACCTGATTAAAAGGAATGCTTTCCTTTCATGGTTCCGAGACACTCCAAACTTCATTAGCTCATCTTATCGGGTGACACATTTTGCTCTCTGTATTATTATTTACCTATTACTGTGCCCACAACATACTCCAACTATAATTGTTAATCGTGATGGATGGTTTTCACTTTTCAAGGGCATCTTATAGATTAGTCTAGAAATTATTTTCCCTTTCAGGAGCAATATCGTCCCATGTTCACGCCATTAAAAGTTTCGGATTGAATTCCTAAATATGAAGACTAGAAGTTAATTGAATTGTAGTAGCTTTCAGTGACTGGGGAAGAAAGAATGATATTAGTTGTAATATATTGGATCAAAATTTATTTTCTTTTAAAAGCCGACTACCAAGATATTAAGAGTGCTCCCTTTCTTCTGCATTGCCATTTAGGCCAAACGAAGAAAGTGAAAGTTCTTTTTAATGAATTTTCTAACGAAGGAAAGGCTTTACATAGAACTGGCCATCTGACAACTTTGCCCTGAGTGGCTAATGAATCAATATATAAGTATATAACAGTGTTTTGCGTGGAAAAACAAGGCAGCAAGCTGCAAGCACACATCCAAACACACAAAAGAAAGTAGATTAATTAGCCAAACCCCTGCGTGAGGCATCAGGATGTGGACATAATTATTGATTTAACAAAACAAGACGTCGCAGAGTCTGTAGCCTGATATGCAGCTTTTGCCTTATAAATGGAGGAGGTGGCAGAGTACCAGTCGCTGTTTGGACTGTCCAACAATGACTTTCTTCCTCTTCTTCTTCCTCGTCTCCCTTTTTTCTGCTTCTCACGCCTTGCCTCCCCACAGCCACCATCGTCGCTTTGCCTCTCACAATTACAGAGATGCCCTCTCCAAATCCATTCTCTTCTTTGAAGGACAGAGGTCCGGCAAACTGCCTCCCAACCAGAGGATGACATGGAGGGGCGACTCCGCCCTCTCAGATGGCTCTGCAATGCATGTATATCCCCAGGCCCTCTTTCTTATTGCTTCAGCTCTTAGTGTTTTCGCTTATTTGGGTGTAAACCAACAATGCAGGTTGATTTAGTGGGAGGGTACTACGATGCAGGGGACAATGTCAAGTTTGGTTTTCCCATGGCATTCACAACCACTATGCTTTCCTGGAGTGTTATTGAGTTTGGTGGGCTCATGAAAGGTGAATTGCAGAATGCTAGAGAAGCGATTCGTTGGGCTACGGATTATCTGCTCAAAGCTACTCAACATCCGGACGTCATTTACGTTCAGGTTAGTGAGTTTTCTTGTGTTAACCCATCTTTATCACAGTTTGAGTCATGTGTCATGGTTCTAGTATCCTCATACGTACTGAAAATGATTGGTTTGAGTTTGCAGGTGGGAGATGCTAGGAGTGATCACGCTTGTTGGGAGAGACCGGAGGACATGGATACCCCGAGAAATGTGTACAAGATAGACAAGAACAACCCTGGTTCAGAAGTGGCGGCTGAAACTGCAGCCGCTCTAGCAGCCGCTTCTCTGGTTTTTAGAAAGAGTGATCCCGCCTACTCCAAAGCTCTACTCACTAGGGCTACAAGGGTATGTAGAAACTTAAATCGAAAGTAAAACCACTCCTTGAACATGTTTGTGGTTTTCCTTGTGAAAAAGTTGACGTTTTATCTGCTTGTTGACGTAGGTGTTTGAGTTTGCTGATAAATACAGGGGATCCTACAGTGATGGGCTGAAACCCATTGTATGCCCTTTCTATTGCTCTTACTCTGGTTATCAGGTAGGGTTTCGGTTGTTCCATTTTTCCATTTGAGTTGTTATAGTGGAAAGTTAACTCAAAGCAAAGGCCGTGTTGGAAATATGGCAGGATGAGCTGTTATGGGGGGCGGCTTGGCTGCACAAGGCTACTCGGAAGCCCATGTACCTAAACTACATTCAAGTGAATGGACCCATCCTTGGTGCCGCAGAGTCTGATAACATGTTTGGGTGGGATAACAAGCACGTCGGAGCAAGGATCCTTCTTTCCAAGGTCCAATTCTAATCAAATTTCTTCTGTACTATGTTGTCTTTTCGAAGAAAAGAGCCAGCATTGGCTATGGTTTTAAACTCATGTTTTGTGCTTTGGGCTTCAGGAATTCCTTGTTCGAAAAGCACAGTCGCTACATGACTACAAATTTCATGCGGACAATTTCATATGTTCCATCATTCCTGGGACCTCTTTCTCTTCTTCCCAGTATACCCCAGGTGAGACCATTATTCGTTCTTGATCTGTCGCAAAGTACTCTCAAATGTCCAGTGTGTTAGTGGTCCAAAGTGTAACGGCTAGTTTTGAGAAACTAAGCAGGCGGGCTTCTGTTCAAGATGAGTGATAGCAACATGCAGTATGTGACGTCCACTTCCTTCCTGCTCTTAGCCTACGCCAAATACTTGACCTCTGCCCAGATGTCTGTCACATGTGGAGGAACCACTGTTACTCCAAAGACTCTTCGCAGTATGGCCAAGAAGCAGGTGGAAAGTCAAACCTCATTCATTGTAAATCTGTTGGTAGTTTTTACTGTTGTTAGTTCTACATTGACTGGTCTGGATGGTCGGTTACTTAGGTGGATTACTTGCTGGGAGATAATCCCTTGAAGATGTCGTACATGGTGGGGTACGGCCCAAATTACCCACGAAGGATCCACCACAGGGGCTCATCTCTACCGTCCATCTCAGTGCACCCTGCCAAGATCCAATGCTCCGCAGGCTTCAGCGCCCTGGATTCACACAGCCCCAATCCCAACATATTAGTGGGCGCTGTGGTTGGTGGGCCAGACTTGCGCGACAGGTTCCCGGATGAACGGTCCGATTATGCGCAATCAGAACCAGACACTTACACGAACGCTCCACTTGTAGGTGCCCTGGCTTATCTGGCTCACTCATTCGGCCAGCTCTAATGTAGAGGGAGCAGAATCCCCAGTTTTAATGACCAGTTTTATCCATTTATTATCACCGCTATGTTTGTTTGCCTTGTATTCCTTGGAAAAGCTCGAGGTTAAGAGGGTCCAAGTATAATTTATGGCACAGCCCCCGAACCTCGAAGCTCTTCCATGTTAAGCTCTTATCTTTCCTCGTCTTTGCCAATCCTTGTACGCTCGTCCACCCGTGACCCATTGGCGTTTTTCTATGACTTCTTTTCAAAATAGTAAAAAACTATAAAATTTTTATGAAGCAGAGAAACAAGGAGGTTTTTTTTATGTTTTTAATACGCTAGAAACAGAGAGGTTCTAACTTGCTCTTTATCCAATTACCAGAGCCAAACTTGGTCGCGTAGTGTATGTATTGCCGGCTGCGCGAGGATCAATAATCAAAGAGTTGAGCCCCTACCAGTTAGTCTGGTTGGCACATGGCTCTTGAAATTCCTAGGGAGTTGGAATGAACATCATAATTGATTGGGAATGGCGGCAAAGAAAGAGAAGGGTAGTGTCATTGGAATGAGGAAACGAATGATTTGACTTGAATGGTTGAAATGACGAAAGGAGATCCTTGGAGGGGCATGTGTGAGGAAGTGTTGATACGGTCAAAAAGCTGCTTCAACCGCTGAAACCCTATGGCTTGTGTCAGACGTGTCAGCCGTAGGAAGGTGGACCCCTAAGCTATTCCTCCCATCCCAATTCCCACCCTATCTGCTTTTTTTGCCCTTTAACGGCTAACGGAAAAATCATAGATCTTCTCCTTTTCTTAATTTAATTAATCTACAGTACTTGCTTTACTCTTTACTTTTCTATTTTGTCATGATATTGAGACTGGTTTGAGAAAGAAGAAACAACAGCAATAACAATAATTCATCAAAAAGATACTAGTAATAATTTCCAATAATTTCATTTTAAATATTCAAAATTTTGAAGTCATCTTCTAATTTGGCTGAAAAAAGTTGGCAGGATGTTATTGGGCCAACTCAACCGAAAAAGAATTTGAAGAAGCAATGCTCCGCATTTGAGATGATCAAATTTTAAGCGACGCCAGTTCACAAGGCCATTGTTTTCTGTAGCTAGCGGCCGACCTCTTCACCTCGTTAATTAGCATCATCCTTTGCCATGGGAACAGAACTTGCCTGCAAAAAGACGGAGATCACAAAATCATTCCAACCACCTTTCATTTCAAATGATCACTCACCAGATCGCGAAACTTGAGAATGTAGAACATCTCCAGATATCTTCGAGTCTCTCGCCTCTCTAGCTTGGAGACATACTTCCAGAAACTATAAACTCCAGCCAAGGTCATCAGCCTTTCAGAATAGATCTTCCACGTATACCTACATATGCATTTCACTTGTAATAAGTAGTGTGTAGTGCCAAAATTTGCCTACCAGTTTTAATAAAATAAAATTTTACTTGCCTTGCATAGATTCTTTGAAGTCCACCATCGGATATTTTATTCCAATGGCTTGGGTCGTCCTTGCATCGTTGGAAGAAATCAACCAGCAACTCGGTAGCTTGGTCAGGGTGGTAAGGATCAATATGGAATCCTGAGATGCCATGCTCGATAATCTCAGCAGGACCGCCGTGGCAAGTAGCGAAAGTGGGAAGCCCGCAAGTCATGGACTCCACAACTGTAAGTCCAAAGGCTTCATAGAAAGCAGGCTGGAGCAAGAGAGAAACACTAGTTTACATTCACGTCCACAGGGTCAATCAATCAGCCAAGAGACATTGGCATTTATATATAGTACCTGAACGAAGGCACCTCTTGTGTCTGCCACATAGCGATATAGCTCACCGTTACGCGCTCTATTTGTTTGGGCAGCAATCCATCGGAAATCACCATCTAATTTATATTGTTTGATTAGCTCATGCATCTTCTGGATTTCTGCAATTTCTTCTCTGTCGCTGGATTTCGTTATATCAATAAAGCCAGCTACCACGACGAGGTTCACCAGTTCCCTCAATTTGCTGTTCTTGCCAAAGGCCTCCACCAAGCCAGTCATGTTTTTCACTCGATCTAGCCTTGCCATGGAAAAAAGTATAGGCTTTGCCCGATCTTTCAGAGTACCGCTGCCACAAACATCAAAAGCAAACCGCACTTATAAACTAGAAGAAGGTAAATCGAGGCAATCGTACTTGGCAATTGACATGGATCCCATATGATGAAGGGTAAAGTAATGATTGTGACCCAGTGAACCAACAAAAGCACATGCTAGTTTTGTGAGAAAGAAATAGATCACTTACATGCATTCATCAGTATTCTCAGGATCATATAACATTTTTTCAATGGAACCGTGTAGGGCTGTAAGTCTATTCTGCTTATCAGAGTAGGGGAAATATATGCTCATATCTGCTCCAGGGGAAACGATATTGAACTTAGGATCAAAAACATCAATGCCATGGACGACCCGATAGAGTCCCGGAAGGGTAAATGCAGTGTGGCTCTCATACTGGCCGACAGTGTTCTTCCTGAAAGAAAACTCACAGGTCAACAAAGTGTCCTGAGTTGCATTAGCATAGGTGCACAACTAGAAATCACAATTTAAACAGAACTCATAATAGAATGCCAATCAAAAAGAAAAAGATAGCTGGCGAAAGGATGCTTGATCGTATAATGCCACATTGGCAAGCAAGGTTTCACAAACTGAAGCCAATTTTTTTTTTTTTTTTTTAAAAGATCACTTAACTCGTGCTTTCATCCTAACATATAAATAGGCACGAGACTGCAAGGGCAAGAAAGGAAAAACATTGAAAAGGACAAATGGTTGAATGTAAAAAATAACAACGAGAAATTCATAAAGGATTAAGTGTTGGACAAGTCAACACTTCATGACAATAATGATACTTACGTTCCTGCAATCTCTTGGTATGTACTGGTGATGATAAAGTCAGCATTATTCATGGCTATCAAGTCCGCAGTGAATTGACATGAAAAATGATACTTGTCCTCGAAATTTTTCCAATATATAGCGGAATCTGGATATTTTGTCTTCTCTAGCGCATGTGCAATCGTGCACTAAAAATACCGACATTTAAAACCAGTGAGTCACATTCTCAGAAGATGATAAAATTGAATTCTGCACTTTGAATAGAGCATATCAGACAGCATATTAAGAATGACAAGGTACCTGAGTAACTCCCATCTTATAAGCTAGTAGAGAGGCAACGAGGTTCCCATCACTGTAATTTCCAATGATGAAATCAGGATGTCCCTGTAACTCAGCAACAATTTCACTGGCAACATCCTGAGACACACATGACCATCAACATAAGACATTAAGGACAGGTTAGATTAAATTATCCGATGCCAAAACTCATTTCCATGTATGAACAAAAGTTTGAAAGGCATTAGTACCTGAAAATTGGTTCATAACATGGAAGCATTCATTACATACATATTACAAGACATTTACCTGTGCAAAAGTCTCCAGATATGGCCAAACATCAAACCTTGAGATCCATTTCCGGAGAATTCCATTCTCTGACCTAAAGGGGACTCGCAAAATATGAGTATGCTCAGTACCACAAACTCTTTCTAGCCGCTGGTTGCATGTCGTGCCTTTCGCATCAGGTATCAATCTGGTAACCTGTTAAGAAATGCAGAGAATTGTAGCTTCAATTACAAGGGCCTTCAAAATTAAAAAATTTGACCCCAGAAAATACACTCACAATTAGAATTCTAGGAGTGACATCCAGTCCTTGTTTCTTGATTCTAAGAAGCATCTCATTCTCAAGAGCACGCACTTGATCCAGAATATAAACAACCTGCAGATTAAAATTTTTTACAGTGGGTGGTGCTCTTACATGATAAATAACTCTAACTAATGTGAGAATGCGATTCAAAATATGAAAAATGACTAACAAGTTAAAAGGTAAAGAGGGAGCAATGAACAAAATTTACAAATATCGCATGTTATGCAGTTACGGGACATGTAAGTATATACCTGGCCACCCGTGTCAGGCAAACCCAAGACATTGGCTTGCCCAAAGTAGCCATGAGGAGATAATATAACAACATTAAACACCATAGGCACTCTTCCTAGAAAAGTCTCTAGTGTAGAAGGATCAGGTGCTTGAAGAATGTCAGAGAGCAGATGCATCATCTCCGATACTCGTTTAGAAGTATCACCCCAACCTCTCTCAAAACCCATTCCTTGTAATCTGGACACAGAAGAAACACTCAGAAATAAAAACATCAAACTGCATGTAGGCTCAACATTAAGCAACGTAGGGTAGATAAGTAAATGCAGGAACAAAAGGTAGGCTTACACATATTCAAACTCAGAATAGTGTGTATCAGCAGCAAACTTAGAAAGATAATCTTCAGCCTTGGACAAAGCTGACTGAAGTTTGGCAATGCTTTGTATACGGTCGTTTAACATAAGCGCCTGCACCATATTATCACGGGATAAATTAAACTAACATGCTCAGTATAACCACTTGAACAAAGGTAAGTTGTGCAGAACAGAGGAAGTAAACTAACATGTCCTTTATACGTGTGAGCTCGGAGGAAATTAAGAAGTGGCTCCATAGAATCTCTGTTGTGAAACATAATTGAAGAAAGGTGACGATTGAGGAACTGGACGCCATTGCCAATTGATGAAGAGCGGGTTGGACGAGGAAATGTTTCATTGAAGGGCTCAAAATCAAGCTCCAATACAATGTGGTTATTAATCCTAATAATTGGCATGCAAAAAAAAAGAAGAAGCTATCTATCATTAATTACATAATTCACAGTCAGGAAATATCAGGAAGTAGTAAATCAATGGATTCCATACCTTTCATCTACCAGTTCTTCCTTGAAGCGAAGATACTCTGAAACTGTCAGTTGTTCCACGCTGAGTTCAAAAACATTGACACGGACATATTCCCAAACACCAGGTCTTGGGCGAACTGCTATTGCCACAAAAGGAGGCGAAACTATTGCATCCTGTCACACAAATAGTGTCACAAATTTAAGTTTGACTTGCTCTTTGCCACGTTAAAAAAGATAATAAGAATTTACGTGACATTTTAATAGGTTAATTTACC